GTCGGGCGCGACCGCGGTCGCGCTTCTTTTCTCCCACCCACCACCCTCGAGGGGGGGTATGGTACCCATGTGCTTCGGCCTGCGCCCTGGCGCGCCAGCCGCCTGTGTCGTTTGACGCGGTGGGCTGGCGTGTCGGCTGTTGGCGCACGGCCGCGGCCTCGCCCAACGTTGTTTGGGTGCCGTATTCCCCCCTCTGGGTGGCATCGCGGTCGAACGTCGCCGCGAAGGAGACTTATGTGGCCCCGTCGCTGCCCTTCGTAGCCCCGTTGCTGCCCTCAGTGGCCCCGTCCTTGCCTTCCGCGGCCCAACATGCGTATGCCCTTCGTGGCCCCCGCTCGTTCGCGCCCGTTGTGGCCCCGTGCGCATGCACTTCGTGGCCCCGCCGTCGCCGTTCGTGGCCCCCTCGCTGTCCTGCGTGGCCCAGCTGCTACCCTCAGTGGCCCCATCGTTGCCTTCTGTGGCCCCTCATTATCTGCCCTTCGTGGCCCACTCTCGTTCGCGCTCTTCGTGGCCCCATACGCATTCCCTTTATGTCCCCGCTGTCGCCCTTCGTGGCCTACTTCGTGTCCTTCGTGGCCCTGCTGTCGTTCTCTCTCGCTTTCGCTCGTCGTCGTCGTCGCCGTCGTCGTGGTCGTCGTCGTCGTCGTCGTCGTCGTCGTCGTCGTCGTCGTCGTCGTCGTGGTCGGTCCCATGTCCGTCCCTCTTGGGGTCGGGTCGACGGTCCGCGGCCGCCCCGCCGATTAGCGCTGCCGCTGGCCAGGCCGACGGCCCGCGGCCGCCCCGCCGCTTGCCGGGGCCAGGCCTGCAGGGAAGAAAGGTATACCCCCCAGAAAGGGTTCGATCGAAGACGAAGAGGGCGGGTATCGAGGGTTTGGGAAATACGCGTTATTGCGTTATTGGACACTCGAGCAGATAAGGGCGAACAGTCTCAAACTGATTGTTGAACTCTCACTACTGGAGAATAATTATTGTTGATCCCCCCCCGTCCAGTGCACATTGTTTTTTCGATTGAAGTGCCCTTCCCGGGGCTCGCACCTGGTTTTTTCGCAAGGGAAGTCTTGAGTGTCAAACTGTGTCGTTGGCCCCCGGTTTACAGCAACAACGGTTCCCGCCTGATACCTCCGCACAATTTATTGAAGAATCGCGCTCTCGCTTTGGACTTCCTTGTAATTTACCGCCCGATCGCGGCTCGCGCTTGATACTTCTTCATAATTTATTGAAGAATCGCGCTCTCGCTTGGGACTTCCTCGCAACTTACCGCGGAATCGCAACTCCCGCTTGATATTTCTTTACAATTTATTCAGATGCCGCTCCTCGACACTCAGGAATCGCGCTCCCGCTACGTATTGCCTGGCGGTTCAAGCAGAATTAACGCTTCAACGACCCGCCCGCTCGACCCGCCCTTCTGGGCCTGCCCGCCCGACCAGCCCGTTAGGGAGTGCAGTCGCCGCTCGTTGCCCTTCGCCAGCCTTCGATGCCCCTCGCTGCCCGTACTGGTTCCGCGGTCGCCTTCGCTCGCTGCCCTTCGTGGCCCCGTTGCTGCCCTTAGTGGCCCCGTCGTTGCCCATTGCGGTCCCGCATTATACGCCCTTCGTGGCCCCCGCTCGCAGTCGCCCGTCGTGGCCTCGTCTCGCAAATCATCGTCCTCCCTCCTTCTCGCCCCTCCCCTCCCTTCCTCCGATCCCTTCGTCCTCATTCTCCCCCGTTATCTGTTACCCTTCGTTTTCAAAGGCTTCATCAACCACATGTGGCAGGGAATGAATATACCCCCAAAGCGGGGTACGATCGAAGATGAAGAGGGCGGGTATCCAGGGTTTGGGATATGCATATTGAATGACACGCGAGCAATTGTTGTTATTGACTTTCATTCTGAAGCATCATTATTAGTGATCCCCTCCGGTAACCATTGCATTTGTCAATGAAACTGTTTCTCTCGGCCCAGGGCTCGCACCGAGTCTTTTGCAAGGGAGAGTGAAGGGTCACCAAACTGGGCCCCCGGCCCCCGAGTTACAACAAGAACGGCTCCCGCCTTACATTTCTCTACAATGTATTCCCGAATCGCGCTCTCGCGCAGAACTTCCTCCCATTTAGTCCCGGAATCGCGCTCTCGCGTGGGACGTCCTCATAATTTATTTAGACGCCGCGCCTTCGACATTCAGGAATCACGCTCTCGCTGTGGATTTCCGCGCGATTTATTTGGGAATCGCGCTATCGCTAGGGACTTCGTCGTGATTCATGCAGGGACCCACGCTTCAGCAACCCGCCTGCTCGACCTGGCCGCTTGGGCCCGCCTTCCCGACTCGTCCGCAAGGGTCTACCCGCCCGATCTGCCCGTCTGGTTCTGCCACTTGCTTTCTGCTCTTAGCCCCCCTCATGCTACTTTCTCTCGTGCTCGATCCTCCTCCCTCCCCCTGTCCCTTCCTTCCATCCGTCCTCTCTTCCCCTGTCTTGGGGGCTGCACGACATACACGTTGCAGATAAGAAAGCTATACCCCCAAGCGGGGTACGATCGAAGACGAAGAGGTCGGGTACCGAGGTTTTGGGATGTCCGTGTTGCGAGCATATAAGAGCGACCAGTGTTGATCTGATTGTTGTTGTTGCTGTTTTTGTTGTTGTTCTCCTGTTGTGCCCTCGGTCGCGGATCACAGATGACGATGAGCAGGATCACACGGAAACGCAAGCCATAGTGGGAGAGTCGCATCTCGACATTCGTGAGGTATGCCTTCATCGTTATCGGCGAAGCTTGTAGTGAACGATGTTGCTGATGATGTTGATGATGGCAGTGGTGCTGGTGGTGGTGATGATGTTGACGATTGTGAGGACGAATATGACGTTTCTTAAGATGACGACGATGACGATGGCGAGGACGACGGTGACTATGGCGACTAATGATCATGTTCATGCGTACGATGATTTGAGGTTAATGGTGACGACAATGATGAGGAGGATAACGATAATGATGCCGACGATGATGATGGTGACGATGATGAGTAGGACGAGGACAAGGAGGATGAGGAGTAGCAGGAGAAGCATCATCTGCACAAGGAATAATCAAGACGAAGAAAGATGGATCGGGGGTGGGGGAGGGAGTGAAGCAGGGAGGGAAGAGAAGGGAGCGCAAGGGGGAGGGAAAGACATGAGGGGAGGGGAACGGGTAGAGGGGAGGATGGGAGTGAGGTCGATGTTGAGGAGGAGGAGGAGGAGGAGGAGGAGGAGGAGGAGGAGGAGGGGGAGGAGGAGGAGGAAGAGGAGGCTTGTGAGCATGATGAGGAAGGAGAGGATACGAAGGAGGATGATCAGAAGCAGAAAGAGAAACATTGCAGAAAGAGTAAAAGCAGGAGGAGGAGGAGGAGGAGGAGGAGGAGGAGAAGTATAAGGAAAGTAATAACAACGAAAAGGCAGGCGAGAGGGATGAAGGGGTGGAGGAGGGGGCAGACAGAAAACGAGGAGGAGCTGGCGGAGGATGATGGCGAGACGAACGGAGAGGGGAGAAGGGCGGATAAGGTGCGCTTTTGTAGCGCGCGCACGCATTCCAACCCCCTTGATAGGCTCGTTGGGGGTAGGATGCCTTGGTGCGCGCTCGCGATGCGCGTGTCCCAGCCCCCACCCTGCCTCGGCTGCGCCCGAGAGTGAGCTCCCTCTTCGCCTCCCCCCCATGCGCCGCCCTCTTCCAAGAGAGAAGGAGACATGCGTCGCGTCCACACAGATGTATCGCTTGGCCACTGCGGGCGTCGTGGCCTCGCTCCACGTTTGAAATGCCGCGCGGGTGGTGCGCGGGTGACTCTGTGGCGCGCGCCTCGCGCTCTTCCCGGTGGCGCAGCTGCGCCACTTCGGCAACGGACAGCGCTTTTCGCGCCGGGGTCGGCGCGCGGCGCCACGTAGACTGCAGGAGGCCCCAGAGAGCCCCCCTGTGAGGCCTCAGCGCTGCCCCACGAGACCCCCGAGAGCCCTCCGAAGAGACCCCAAGAAGCATCCCTGAGGAGGAGGAGGAGGAGGAGGAGGAGGAGGAGGAGGAGGAGGAGGAGGAGGAGAAGGGGGAGGAGGAGGAGGAGGAGGAGCCTCCGAAGAGACCCCAAGAACCATCCCTGGGAAGTCTGACCCTCAAGCCAGGCACGGTGGCGGGAGGGGCCGAATTCCGTTCGATCCGCCGCCCCCTGTGTTCTTGCCACAAGGGTGCTTGGCATGCTGGATGTTTGGAGGTTTTTGGCTCCTTTAAATCTCCATCTGGGGCTTCGGCCGATGCCGCCGGCCACCCGGAAGGCTGCTTTCGAGGTTGCTGCAAAGGTTTTTCCTGGTCTAGATGGCTCTAGAATGGCCCAAGTTTGCTTCCAGACGGCATAGATGGCTCTCAAGTTCGCTCAAGATGGTCCATGAGGGCCTCCAAGATGGCCCAAAAGAGTCCAAGATGTCTTCAACCTTGCCCAAAAAGCCTCCAAGACGGCCCAAGACGGCCCCCAGGAGACTTTGAAAACGACTCACAAGGCTTCCAAGAGGTCCTACGAGAGGGCCCGACGAGGCCCAAACCATTGATGTTCTTTAGGTTTTTGGAGAATCTTGGCAGTTGCTTCTTTTCGGCTTTCCGACGGCTTGGGCCCCCCCAAACCGCCCCCAGAGCGCCCGAGAGGCCTCCGAGATGGCCCCATAACGGCCTAAGTCGGTGGCAGGGATCCCTTGGGCTAGCGGGTACCCTCGGACCAGAAGGCTTGGGAGGGTTCCCGCCATGAATAAACTTGCGAAGATCAGAAAATTGGAAAATAATGATGTTGCCCCGACATTTCATCACTTGCATGTCTGCCAGTTCGGAGAGGTTCGGCGAGGATGGGAAGAAGGGCGCACCGATCCTCGCGCACGGTCTTGATCTGCCGGATGTTGACCGACGCTGCAGTATGCGTGATAGCTTGAGGTTGAGGTTGATAGTGAAGGCGCCGAGGTTGATAGTGATAGTGAAGGCGCCGACGAGGCGCATTCCGAGCCGCGCGCCGCGCCTCTCGGCGCCCCAGGACAGCAAAGGCAAAGGCGCCAAGGGCGAGGGGAAGGGCGCCAAGGGCGAGGGAAAGGGCGGCAAGGCGCCCCGCGGAGGGGGGTGGGGGAGCCCCCCCTGTGCACGGTTCGGTCGGTCGTTCTGGTCACATCGCAGTCGGGGGCGTGCGGTCGGTTCGGTTCAGTCGGTTGACCGCAGTATCGTGCCGTTGCCGCGTCACCGCGCCCTTCTAGGCTGCTTTCGGCCTGTCGATTTCGGTCGGTTTCGATTTCGTTATTGGTTTGGTCGGTTTTCGGTTTTGCAGTTGCCGTGCACGGCCTTTGGGGGGGGAGTGCAGCTCCCTTTCTCCTCTAACATCCGTCCTTGTCAGTAGCCCTGCAGGCAGGCGGGCCGGGCGTTCCCCCTGCGAATTCTTCACAGCTTACGATCCCAGAGGTGGCCTTTTCGAATAATTGAAAGGATGAAGGTGGACCCTTATCAAAATATGTCTCTCGCATCAGCGCCGCGCACGTTCGTGCTATTCCCCGTCAACAGCTTCAAGTATGGAAGGCTAGCCGATGTCAAGATGTGGCTCTCTTTTCAGCGCCGTATATTTTCGTCTTGTACATTTCCAACGGCTACAAGAGTGTGGCCTTCGCCTTACGGTAGGGGCGGTGGTTAAGGAATGTGCCCAGGAGGATTCAGACCTTGGAGGATTCATCTAATGAGGGCGGCCGTGATATCCATGGCCAATCCACGATTGCAGTTTCACCGGATTCCTGACCTTCGATTCCTTATCCAAGGGTTCCTTGTGCAATGTCCTCACCATAATTTGTTCGATGTAGCCTCCGCCTTAGCGCCGTTCGCACGTGTCTTTCAGGTTTCCAGCAGCCACCAGAACGGAGGGCGGCGGCACGTTATTCGAAATGTGCCCTTGCCTCAGCGCCGCGCATGTTCGTCTTGAAAGCTTCCAGCAAGTATCTAGGCCTCCAAGTGGGGTCCGAATGGATGGGGTCGGAGGACCGCGCCGCATCGCCGATGCATCGCCGATGCGGCTCGATATGGAGCCCGATTTTCTCCACGCCGACGTTGAACTTGCATCGCCGACGTCGCCGATGCATCGCCGATGCACCGCGGACGCACTGGCGATGCGGCACGATTCTCCACCCCATCTACTCGGACCCCATTTGGCAGGCCTCTGAGGATGGAGAGCGGTTCATTTTCTGCACCGGTGTCTCGCTTGAGACTTTCTCGCATTCTCTACATGGTGCTTGCGCTAGCGGGTACTTGTCTTGTTCGTCAAGAATTGGCCTGCGATTCCATATTTTCGCACGTTGCCCGCCCGTGACCGCCTCAGGCCCGCTCCGTGGTGGGGGCAGTGGCGAGGGGGCCAGCGGGACAGTGGTGGGGGCAGTGGGACAGTGGTGGGGACGGTAGTGGTGGGGACAGTGGTGAAGGCGGTGGTGAGGACAGTGGTGGGACAGTAGTACAGTGGGGAAAGTGGTGGGGACAGTGGGACAGAGGGACAGTGATGGGGACGGTGGGGGCGGTGGGACAGCACAGTGGGGCAGCGGCGGGGACAGTGGGACAGTGGTGGGTACAGCGGGGACAGTGGGACAGGGGTGGGGACCGTGGGGAAAGTGGGGAGAGTGGGACCGTGGTGGGACAATGGTGGGGAGAGTGGGGACAGTGAGACACTGGTCGGGGCACTGGTGGGAACAGCGGGGACAATGGTGGGAACTGGGGACAGCGGGACAGTGGTGGGGGCGGTGGTGGTGGGGACCTTGGTGTGGGATCAGTGGGAATGTGGTGGAAACAGTGGGACAGTGGAGGGTATTGTGGTGGCGGGGACAGTGGTGAGGGCAGTGGCGAGGACGGCGGTGGGACAATGGGACAGAGGTACAGTGGGGACAGTGGTGGGGACAGTGGGGACAGTGGTGGGAACAATGGGACAGCTCAGTGGGACAGCGGCGGGGACAGTGGGAACAGTGGGACAGTGGGGACAGTGGGACAGTGGTTGGGGCCGTGGAGAAAGTGGGGAGGGTGGAGCCGTGGTGGGAACAGTGGTGGGGACAGTGGGGACAGTGCGACAGTGGTGGGGGCACTGGTGGGGACAGTGGGGACCGTGGTGGGAACAGTGGGGACAGTGGTGGTGAGGACAGTGGTGCGGGACAGCAGTGGGGGATGTGGTGCGGACGGTGGTAGGGACCCGGGAGTCGTTTGCTGGCGGTGAGCGTGGGAGGGGGGGGGGGGGAGGGGTGGAGTTTTCTGAAGGGGGGAGGGAGGGGTTCGAACCAGTAGTGACACCCCCCGGTTTTCTGGGGGGGGGGAGAAGGGTTCGAACCAACCGGTAGTGACCCCTCCCAGTTTTCCGGAGGGGGGGGAAGGGTTCGAACCGGTAGTGACCCCCTCCGGTTCTCCAGAGGCGGGGACGGAAGGGGGGTTCGAACATGTAGTGACCCCCCTCTCGGTTTTCTAAAGGGGGGGGGGAGTGGTTCGAACCGGTAGTGACCCCCTCCGGTTTTCTGGGACGGGGGGGGGAGGGTTTCGAACCGGTAGTGACCTCGGTTTTCCGGAAGGGGGGGGGGGAGGGTTCGAACCGGTAGTGACCCCTCCGATTTTCCGGAGAGGGGGGGGTGTTAGGGGAGGGGGGGGTTTTGTCGGGGGGAAAGGGGGGGGTCCAGCAGGGGGGGGATTTTTGGGGGGGTGGGGGGGGACCCCTGGGTACCGGAGGAAGAGGGGGGGGATTTTCCACAGTAAAGCTGCGGTGGATCACGGTCGCTCATATATCTGAAGCTGTCGTTTCTTTCCGATACCAGACTGTTTCCATGCCTTACATAATTCTTGACATGTTGAGTTTGCTTCTCCCAGTCGTCTGGAGAACTCGCCTCCAACGCGTCCATCATTCATCATCAATCCTTCCAAGTAAACAGCTTGCTCCACGACTGTGATCGGCTCCCCGTCCGGTTCCATGACGCGTTCGCCGGTATATATTTGCATTTGCGCAGTTTTATCCCAAGTGAGCTCGAGGCCGTAGTTCGTCCTTTCCAGCATTATTGCTTCCAGCGTGCGTTGTAAACAGTCGACGCTCCAGGATATCACCGCAGTGTCGTCTGCATACGACGCGTTTTGTGTGACCACGCAGTCAGGATCTGGATCAATATGAAGATCACCCGAGGCGTCCTGCAACCTGACCGCTTGTACTATGATGAACAAGTATGGCGATGAAAAGGGCATCCTTGGGCGATGCCTGCTGCTTGTCGGCTTTCTGAAGATTTCCCACAATGGTCAGCGAAAACAAAATATTGATTCGAATCTATACTTTTTATCATGTCAACCATCGGTGGCGGCAGGCCAAAGCGAGCCAGCGCAGCGCATCTACAATCAGGTTTTAGGTGGTCGAAAGCTTTGGCCCATTCCAGAAGTAAAATAAACCCACCACGGTTGCTGAACATAGTTGCATCAATCATACGCCTCACCAGCGTAAGGGCGTCGGCCGTACCGCGGCGAGGGCGAAAGCCAAATTGAGATTTTCGTATGCACAATTCCGCATCTCTTCGCAGTAGTCGTTGGTGCAGCATGGCCGCCAATGTTGTGCAGCCCACAGACAATAACGAAGTTGGTCGGTAATCACTCGGTAAAGTGACATCCGTTGTTTTGAAGAAAATAAGGTTTGCTTTCCGCCACTTGTCTGGTATATTTGTTCTCCCAACATTTTTGGCACACTTCCAATAATGTTTCACATGCGCCCTCATCTCGAGACACAACCTTCCAAACATCAGGCGGCACATCATCCAGCCCAGCCGCCTTTCCATCCTTCATTTTCTGAAGCACGTGTTGTAGTGCAGCCATACTGAGATTGGACACGACCACAGGCAAGTATCACCCAATGCAGTCGAGGCTGTTGGCACTATTCTGAGAACTGCACTTTCCATTGTACTTTCGAAGTCGTCGGCTAAAGCGTCTGGCCGGGCAGCGGTATCCGTAAGCTGATTGTCAAGGTGTCATGTTCCAGCATGTTTTGTTTGCGGCTTTTTCCTAATCCTGTTGACTGCGTCCCAGCTGCCGCCAACCAACGTCTGATATATCCAATGTGTGCGGTCATTCTGAGGCTTTCCGGATAAGCTTGTTCATGACTCGTTTCTCGTTGGCGTCTCCATTTCGTCGTGAAACTTTCCGTTTTTCAATAAGTGCCAAAGTATTTTGAGTAATCCACGGTTTGTGTGCAGATTGTTGTCTGCTGAGAAAGGCGTCGCATGCGGTAGCAAATGCATTGCCCACTTGATTTGCCAATTGGTTGAGCGAGCTGTTTGCGACGTACGTTGTCTTTCAGGTATCGAAGAAAGAGCGCGTGAGCTCCTTCTGGATTGTCTGGTCCCGCACAGAGGCTTTGCCAATCTGATTCTGCGCACCCGCTGGCTACATTTGAAACTGTATCCCAATCGCCGCTGTCATCAGATAGTGGTGGCTATTGAGGTCTACGTCCCTGTGCGATTCTCAGAGCTTGACCCAAGGAAGGACATATGTGTGACTCAATACGTGGTCGATCTGAGCGAACTTCTCCGGGGTAATGTCCGGGTCCACGGAGACCATGCCAAGATTTTTGTGCGAGATGCGTTGCTCAACAGGAGTGTCGAAGGACGTACTCGCGATGGCCATGTCCGTTGCCACGCAGTGTTCAAGTAGAAGTTGTCGACTCGATATTGTAGTGGCCTCCGGCCAGTGCCGCCGATCCGGGGCGCTCCGCAAGATGATGATCAGGATGATGATGAAGATGATGATGACGAAGACGATGACGACGACGATGGTTATGACGAGGGTGACGATGACGGCGAGGGAGGGGGGCTGCAGGGGCGGGGTCCGCTCTGCAGGGGACGCGAGCGACGACGACGACGAGGACGACGATCGACGCTCTGCAGGGGACGCGAGCGACGACGACGACGACGACGACGAGCGACGACGACGACGACGACGACGACGACGACGACGACGACGACGACGACGACGACGACGACGACGACGACGACGACGACGACGACGCGACGACAACGACGACGACGACGACGGGGGGGGGAGCTGGGTTGCAGGGGGAGGGCCTGTCCTCCA